GGATTCTGATCGAGAGATTGAAGGTTTTGAAGAGCGTGGAGCCACCTCTTAATTGCTGTTGTTAACAGGTCCCCAATAACGCAGGTTTGTAGCAAATAGTGAACCACCAAACAAAAATCAACAGTACATTTTTATAATAAAATTACCAACTACAAAATTTAAAAAAATGACAATGAATACAACACTATAAAAATGTATTAAAATACAAACACTAAATTTTTATAAAACAAATTACTACTGTTGTAGTGAAATTACTAGAACGGGATTTTAAAAAAATTACCAACAATATATTTTATGATCTACAAATCTAAGAAAGATACGTGTAGCCTGAAAATATAAAATTACGTATAAAATATTTAGATTTCGGTATTGAATAAACTATAGCTAAACAAAATTAACCAATCAAAAATGATATCGTCACGTTAGTGCCACCGACCATTACCTTTGCACACTGGTCTCTCTCTCTCTCTCTCTTTCTTTCTTTCTTTCCAGGCTTACTTCTACATCACGTTGAATCACCGGTTCCTGTACGAAGTTAAGCAACGTTGAGCCAGGTCTATATTTTTATCATATATATATATATATATATATATATATATATATGTAAAAAGATGATGAGACAAAGTGGAAACTTTATTAACGACGCGTTTCGCCAGAGCGTCTGCTCCCTCAGGTTAAAATGAAAGAAAGACAAAACTGTATGCGCTGTGGATAAGCAATCATGAATCAAATGAAATTAGATCCCCTTATCACCTCTAACGTCAAAATTCAAGATAGTGTCTGTCCGCCTTTTTGTTTGCTTGATCTAGGTGTTTGGTGTGGTTGAACTGATTTAAAATCCATACGATCACCGTACAATCACTGAAGTAATTGGTAATTGCTCCGAGGAGCTGCATTCGCTGGTTCCCAGACTTCATGAATTCAAGCGCTCTACGAGGCTGGCATCCCATTCTCACCCTTTCACTATCGAAACTCCTAAATGTAGCCGTCTCTTCTACTCCAATAGCTTCATGTCTCGCACCTCTCGCCTGTGGAAATCCCTTCCCTATTCCAGTTTCCCTGAGAGCTATAATCTCCAACTATTCAAATGTAATGTCAATCGACATCTCCAGTTGCATTGATCTATCCACTATCCTTCTCCTCATCCTTTCCTCTATCACTCCTATCTGATCTTGCTCTAAATTTTCTGTAACCCCTTGTGTCCTAGTGGCTTCCCGCCTTGCTTGGAGTGAAACGCTTTAAAAAAATGTTCGGTGGAATTATTTTCAGGCATATGCAGTATTTTTATTCATGGATCTCTAGTTTCGACGTTTTCCATGAAAAGTGCACCTAATACAATATCTTATTTAGTCGTCCGAATTTAGCTTAGGTTATATCTATGGTCTTGTACTAAGTCTAAAATAGGCAGTCCTGGGTATGACGATAAACTACAGCCGTCAGCAAGTTCTTTGATCTGGAGATTGGAGGTCTTGAGTAATGTGAAAGCACGTCTTAACTGCTGCTATTCCCAGAACTATCCTGACCCGTGGGGTAGCTCCTGTTAGAGTCCTAGCTTTGGGTAAATAGAGAGCTCTAAAACAAAACACTATGAAAATATAAAAGTCAATTTTTTAGTAAAAATACCATTAATATATTTTTTATATACTAAAATGACCAATACATATTTATAGTAAAATTACCAGTAAAACTGATTTAAACAATATAAGATAAAAATATATAATAATAACTAACAGAAGTCTTACTATTTTAAATAAATGACTGTTTTAATACAAGGCTTTATTTAGAAAAACATTAAATATCCGCACTAAATGACTGTGTCAAAAGGTTGTAAAACGAACAAAACAAACTAAGATAAGCTTAATTTCTAAAGGTGATTTTTTGAAAATAAGACTTTCACTTCTAAATTTGGCTTTGAGTCAGTTTCAATTCAATCTAGATTGTAAACTTAGCCTTGTGCTAGATTAAACAGTTAGCACGAGCCTTGTTCAAGACAGGGCTGAGCATACAAAATAAGCGTCGCCTGGTGACAGACTAGGTCAAGATTGGTAAATATACGGTTGTAAGGCGTCATTTACATGCAAAAAATAATATGAGGTTCAAATTCGGCGTGAAATGTTAATAAAAATGTTTGTATTTGTATTTTACTGTAGGCACATCAATTTAGAATCTCCATAAACAAAGACATATTCAATCGCAAAACAAGATTTCCTTATTAAGGCAAACGGCAGTAGATATTAGATTTTGGCTAGCGATCAATAATTGCGTTCTAATCAAACATTATACTCGTTCTCTCTCTCTCTCAACCCTCTTTTTCTATAACTATCACACACAGACGCGCGCGCATGCGTATGTGTATGTGTGTAAATATTCTCAGATTGAGTGTATCTGTATAAGAGACAAAATGAATAAAAAAAGATAAGAAGAAAAACTATTCATCACTCGTTTCGACCTCTTGCCTTGATAAAGTCTCTTTGAGAACGAAACTCGTCGGCTATGAATAATTTTTTTCTGTTGTCTCTTTTATTCATATATATATATATATATATATATATATATATATATATATATATATTTTGGTTGATAGATGTGAGTTTGTTACCCTGGGTTTCTCGACAAATATGTTAGCTCTATCTCTGATATTGAGCGCTTTCTAATAAGTACCGCGCATATAATATATAAATAATTATACATATATATATTTTTCACACACACACACAAATACACACACACACACACACACACACACACACACACACACACACACACACACACACACACATATATATATATATATATATATATCGCACGTATAGTGCCGGTGTTAATAAAACAGTGCTCGATGTAATACAACTGATAGACGTATTTAAGCAGATATTTATTTTTATGCCTACATGTAACCATCAATTCATTTCTCTTGTTTAATAATCTAGGGTTATTTAACGGTTTTAAGATAATCAATTTTTCAATAAAACATACGTTACATGTATTTTTTTTCCCGTTGTAAGACTTGGTTCTTATTACAATATCCCAGTTGATAAAAGGTTTATTACCATCAGTCTTTAATTGCCAGAAATATTTAGAGAAAGAAGTTCTGTTTTTGTAATTTATATTGCCTACAGACATTCGATGATAGAAGAAATGAAATTTCCAAGGATTTTTAGTGGAACCATATCACATTTAACATCGTTACCATAATGTATTCTTGCACAGTATACAGTATTACTAGTCATACATTAACTGTTTAAGGGACAGATTACATTTTTGGCAGTTATTTTAAAATGAAATTAACTTTGTCTTTGTTGGCTATATATTTATTTAATAGAATGTTATGTTGAAATATAGAATTATCGATGTTATTGACGCAGCTATAGTTAATCATAACATCATTTTTGTAACAAAATCTTTTATAGTATTGGTGAATGGTTAAAGTACGTATGAATTAAATTTAGGAAAATTATTCCGATATTCGTTTGAACACTATGATTAAAAGGTGGATTAAACCATATAAGGGTGTGCGCGCGTGTGTGTGCGTCCGCGCCTGTGTATGTGTGCGTGTGTTTTCAAAATTTAGTTTCGTGGTCTCTCCTGTCGTTTCCAACGTGGGTTGAGCCATTCAGTTTTAAAACCAAAACACTCAGGCTAATGAACCAGTAACACTTTTCGAAAGAACTGATAGCAGAGAAATGGTGCTTCCTTTGAGATTTCATATATATATATATATATATATATATATATATATATATATATATATATATAGTGTATTTGGTCAGCAATCCCTTTTTATACAAGTTAAGTTAAAAGTGACTGTTGTACTGCTGTTAAAAGATTAAATAAAAACTTACCTTGTCAGTCATTTTTAACGAAACTTAGGTATGTACACACACAGACGCACGCACACCAGCACATGCACACACATACACACACTACACACGCACGCGCGCGCACACACACACTTATATATATATTTGGGAAAATTATGACTAAGTCGAAAACGTCTTTATGTGATGTATTTCGTTTTATACAACTTCATAGGACTATATAAATTTTACCGTCACAAAAAAACTTTATTTGTTCTTTGTGTCCTGAACATTATGAGAAAACGCTGGCCCCATCGGGCTTGCGTTAGTCCACAATATCAATCATGAATAATTGGGACAAAAATCAGCAATGTAAACATTTTTGGTTTTAAGCGTTATTAGATTCTTAGAACTGTTGCTGACATAGCTATACTTGTCATCGTGTTCACAGGCACTATATATATATATATATATATATATATATATATATATATATATATATAGGTATAGATAGATAGATAGATAGATATATTTAAGAATATGCGTAAATAAGGCGAAGAAATGATTTTTAACACGCAGCTAATTGCGATAGTATTATAAAAAATAGAATGTGCCTATATGTGAGAATGTACGTAAGTATTTACGTTGTTTATGTATGCGTTTAATTTCCTAGTCGCGGCAGCTAGAGGATAGAAGGCGGAGTTACATTAATACTACTGCACGGTTCGTATGTTTTTGTATTTAAGTTAAGCTTTTATTGTAATATAGTATACTCGAATAAATTTGCGAAAATGTGATATATAAATCCTCTATAACCCTATAATCTTCTCTTACTAATTATGTCTATATTACAAATTTTATTTCGTGACATCTACCTTGTGTGGCTCTTGTGCCTTTTATTGAAATTATTAAAAAAGTACACATAAAGAAAACTGGAAAATACAAAAGCCGTGACGTTATGATAACAACAACAGAGATGAGGATATTAGTCCGACCTATTCCATTTATTTAGACAATCATAGCATCAATCTTCTGGTGCTGTGTTATAGAAAAGTTAGGTGTATTTTCAAGTGTCTATATCTCTCTATAGTTTGTTTAATCCATCAAATCTTGTCGTTCGTTTTTTAGTCTAAGACAGATTCAGAAAATCCGAAAATGGATTTTTCCTGAATTTATGGAAGCGATCGATATGTGCGTTCCAATCTAATCAACAGCGAAAAGAGTTGCTATTTTCTGCTTTTCAACAATTCCCTTTCTCTTCTTGCTCGAGACAAAAATACCATTGTCGGTCACGGAAGTCACTGGCAATAAAAATAGATTTATATAGAGTGGAGCATGAAGAAATTCCTGGCGAGGTGCAGAACAACATTTCAGTCTACGGGGGAGAAAGAAAACTTCAAACTGGAACAAGGACGAAGGAATGGATCAGCCAAAGAAAACTGAACTCATTACATAAACGAGAAATCCAACAAGATGACGGCAGAGGCGGAGGCGAAGGCGGAGGGTGGGGTCTTGCTCACGAGCAGCTTCCAAAGAAAGAAGCGGATGAGTAAATCCCCCCCTCTCACACGCGCGCCCGCATACACTGATAAACATAAATGGATAGGTATAGACTGTGCTAGCTAGCTGGTTCTATATATATATGTAGACCGATACAAATACACATATATATGTACATATATACATATAATAATTCACTCAGATAGATAGATAGATAGATAGATAGATATGAAAATGAGCTAGCTAGATAGATAGATACATATTAAAATGACATAGATAGATAGATAAATAGATATGAAAATGAGCTAGCTAGCTAGATACATACATATTAAAATGACATAGATAGATAGATAGATAGATAGATAGATAGATAGATAGATAGATAGATAGATATGAAAATGAGCTAGCTAGCTAGATAGATACATATTAAAATGACATAGATAGATAGATAGATAGATAGATAGATATGAAAATGAGCTAGCTAGCTAGATAGATACATATTAAAATGACATAGATAGATAGATAGATAGATAGATAGATAGATATGAAAATGAGCTAGCTAGATAGATAGATACATATTAAAATGACATAGATAGATAGATAAATAGATATGAAAATGAGATAGATAGATAGATAAAAATGACATAGATAGATATGAAAATGAGCTAGATAGCTAGATAGATACATATTAAAATGACATAGATAGATAGATAGATAGATATGAAAATGAGCTAGCTAGCTAGATAGATACATATTAAAATGACATAGATAGATAGATAGATAGATAGATAGAAAGAAAGAAAGAAAGAAAGAAAGAAAGGGACTCAAATAACCATGTCGATATCGACATTAAAGATCTTATAAAAAGTTAGTTGTAATGTTTATTTCATTCAAAGTGCAATTGATACTGATTCAGGTTTGAAATAAGCAACAGTAAAATGATAATTTGTTTGTGTCTGGTTCATTCATGAAAATATATGGAGGCTGCCCAACTGATTTAACTACTGATATGGATGCGACTGCTTGCCTCTTCGGAATCTCATTAATTTCAGCTTCCATCAACGCTTAGAATGAGAGCTCGTTCCCTAACTAGGTTTACACAAAGAAGTTTGTTATTAACTTACGTATTTAATTGTCGAGGTTTGTTTGAAAAGGAACCAAATAATGCATTGGGTAAAATGTTATTTATCAAGATTAATTATTTGCTCAACTTTTGTGGGATGCTCAGTAAGGAACAAGCTCTAAGTAAATTTGTCTAAGAGATTATATTATTTACAAATCCCCCACAGACGAGCGTTTGGTATTTAATAAGCTTAACTTAGTCGGGTACAAGGTTAAAATAGCGAATCATCGAGTAAGGACTAAACACATAAAGACGCGAATTGTCAGCTAGATTATCTTAATGACTATACCAGTGATCCCCAAAATTTTTCTAGATGCCTCCCCCCATTGGCTCTCAACCCTAGTAATTCCTAGCCATACCCATACTTATTACTCACTGCTTATACTGAAAATTCGAAGCAACAATCTAACACTGTTAAGGCACATATGCATTTTAGCTTTTCTTAGATGCCACTAGATATGATGTCGCCACACGATCTTCCGTAGCTATATCACTTCACCTAAAAACCTAGAGGATTGCATTCTACATCTATAGAGTTCGCTGTCTGATTTGTTTGATGTGTGGCACAAGCTGTCCAGATAATGTCAGCATCATACAAATCTTTGAACTTCAAACTTTGGACAAGAAAATGAAATAAATGTATCCGTTTGTATATAATTCCGATGTTAATCTTATTTTTTGTAAATCCTTCAAGGGTAACTGGTTTGGATTATATTATATTATATAGATTTTGTACAAAAAGATAATATATGTCTTGGTTCCAATGCCCTTACACCCACCACATTTTTTCGAACCACCCTCCTTCTTCAACGACATCTTGGATATCCGCATCACGCTTAGGGAAGTGGTACTGTCAACATTGCGAAATCCCAAGACCAGATTCAGTTTAGTCAGAAGTTTAGAGAAAAAAAATAGAGAATAAAAAAGACATTTTTGTATTAGAATCAGAAAGAAACATTTGTGATCTCTTGGAGATATAGGTAAGGAAAAAAGATTAGAGATTTTGGCACTCACAAGACACGTCTAAGGCAAAGAGGGGTAAAGGGAAACTGCAGATAAACTAATGAGCTTGTTTAAATTGATGGCTAAACAAGAATAGGATGTTGTGGAGAACCATGAAAAAGTATGATACATAGAAGAATTTTAGAATTCTGATACTAGGAAACAGTAATGGATCACTTAATGAGAATTAAACTTAATATACTGGCGAATTAGCACACGCACACACATATATATATATATAGAGAGAGAGAGGGGGGAGAGAGATTAATAGACTAGGATAGATAGGGATAAATAGATATACATATAAACTAGTTTAGATAGATAGATAGATAGATAGATAGATAGATAGATAGATAGATAGATGGAAATAGACTGCGAAAGATACAAACATATGAATTGACTAAGATAGAGATAGATATAAACATACATATGAATTGACTAGGATAGTTAGCTAGAGAGATAATGAAGATTGATAGTTAGATAATGAATACACACACACACAAACACACATAAATATATATATATATATATATATATATATATATAGAGAGAGAGAGAGAGAGAGAGAGAGAGAGAGAGAGAGAGGGAGAGAGAGGGAGGGAGAGAGAGGGAGGGAGGGAGATGAACAGACTGCGATAAATATATTACGACAGATGAAAAGAAACTAATAAAAAGATGTTAAAGAAATGAAGGAAATAAACATGAACAGGAAACTAGAATTAATGATTTAAAACATTTATCTTCATCACTTCCTTGAACACACAATTTAATTCTAACGAGAAGCCTGTGGTCACAATCAGTAAGCTCTTGTGTTCGGCCACTCTGTTGTTGATATTAATAGGTAAAACCAAACCATTGGCTATCCCCGGGACACATGTGACATCGTAGTTCGACGCGTTTCAGATGCCCCCCCCCTCAGTTTCATAAATGGAATATCACATCCATTTGACACCTGCAATCTGCCCCGTTCAAACTGGTAAATTAGGTCTTCTTGCCATAAACTGGTGTTCTCATTGACTCAATGATCAGTTGACATAGATGGAGGCATTTCTGTGAAGTTAATAAAAATATAAGATGGTCAAGTTATCCCGACCTCTCATCTTTTGACTATCTCTTATTTTGCCTTTTACAACATCCACCCACAATTTTAAGTAAGATAAAAAAAAAAACTTCAAATAATTCATCAAATAAAATTGATTGATTGATTGATTTGTTTAACACCATATCAACTTTTTGTGGGCCATTTAATGTTGAAAATTGAGCTTTGACGTATAAAAATAGGATATATTTTATTCTACTTTCACAATTGAATACATGGTAGATAATACTCAGCTTTTGTGCATATGTTCGTGTGGACATGATTATTAAAGGCGATGATATATTTTATGCAATACAGTTTGATTTAAGAATTTGTAGGATATTATATGGGTTAATGCCATGAAAGAGTTATTTCATGTTGGCCGTTTGGATAATTTTTATTTATCGGCATATCTATGGGATATTTAATACGGAAATGTAAATAATTTCAACAATTTTATGGCTTCAACTAAATATATTTTGAACGCAACTGTATACCTTCAACTACAGATAAAATGCATTGCATGACATGTTGGTTTAAATAAAAATGGATTGATGGTATTTTACTATAATAATGCATTTTTATACTTCCATAGTGTTTTGTCTGGGCGTTGTACAAGCACGAAGCCACAAATCACCGTGACCGAGATATTTGATAATACAAACCATTTTCGAATTGTTGATCACGGCAGATTATGCGTCCTCTCCTAGAAACTGTATATAAGGTGCGCAGCTACGTATACTCTGATATATATACATACATATATATATATATATATATATATATATATATATATATATATATATATATAATATGATGCGAGGAACAAATTGTCCTTTAAATTATGCAAAAATGAAAATAATACTGACATCTCATTTTAACAGATAGATTTGCCAAAATTACACAAATATATTTTGAAATACTAAACAATAAATTCAATAAATTCGCCATTTGTTTCAACTACGGCCTCCAGACGACTTCGGAATCTCCTTCAACTCTTCTGGACAGTCTCCTTGTTTAAGTTGGTGAATGTTGCCATATCCTTGCCTTCAGTTCATCTTTGGTGTTACAAGGAATTTTGTTGGTCTCTCACTCAGCTGTGCCTCACAGGGGTTGAAGTCTGGGGAGTTAGGTGGAAAAATCTAAGGGCTTATGTGGTTGTAGAAGTTGCCTGAAAGCCAAAATGGATTCTGCTTGTGTGGCATGGTGCGGAATACTGTTGCCAGACATAGGGTCCGCCAGAAGACACTCTCTTGACCCAAGCAGCACAACCTTATCAAGGCACTTGATGTAGGCCTCTGTGTAGAGTCTGAGGCCTCGTGGAAAGATGACCGGAGGCATAACGTCGCCATCACTAGTGATCACTCAAAACACCATCATAATCTCCATTAGAATCATCCAACTCTTTCCGAATCCTCTGAACACTCCTCAGATTGACACATAAATTCTCCGAAATGTTTGTGGCTTTTTTTAACCTTGCTTGGTGTAAAATGATTCATATATATATATATATATATATATATATATATATATATATATATATATAGAGAGAGAGAGAGAGAGAGAGGGGAGAGAGAGAGAGAGATAGAAAAATTGCAAATTAAAAAAATAATAATGTACTTTTAGGAAAGTATTTATTTATTTGTATATATATTTGATATTTCAGATTGGCCTAAATCTTTCTTCAGAAATAACTGTTTGTTTACAAGTAGCGTCCGTCGCGAGATGCGGACGTCACGTGATTCCTAACGTAAATCTAACTGTAATAATATCTTAGATGTTGTTTAAAAAAAATTTTAAAAATGAATAAAATAAGAAATAATTTTTTTTTTTAACTATATCTAAAAAATGTTTAACTATATATATGTGTGTGTGTGTGTGTGTGTATGTGTGGGTGTGTATATATATATGTGTGTCTGTGTGTGTGTGTGTGTATGTGTGTGTGTATATATATGTGTGTGTGTGTGTGTGTGTGTGTGTGTGTGTGTATATATATATGTGTGTGTGTGTGTGTGGGTGTGTATATATATATATGTGTGTGTGTGTGTGTGTGTGTGTGTATATATATATGTGTGTGTGTGTATGTGTGGGTGTGTATATATATATATGTGTGTGTGTATGTGTGTATATATATGTGTGTGTGTGTGTGTGGGTGTGTATATATATGTGTGTGCGTGTATATATATATATATATGTATGTATATATATATGTATGTATATATATATATGTATGTATATATATATGTATGTATATATATATATGTATATATTGTATCTCAAAAATGTACTCGCTTTTTGTCTTCCTAAAACTTCTTGATTTTTATTCTTTTTTCACATGCATACATTTATTTTCATTTAATATTTAATTTCAACCGTTAATCTTCTTTGTAATTGAATAAATCTTAATATTTCTTTTTATTGTAACCATTAATATTGTTTGCAAGTTAATGTAAAATCTTATTTTTCGATGTTGATAGTTGAGTGTTTTGAAAATTCTTTCCCGTAATTTGTCACGAGAGTATTCGTTATTCATGAAATTAAATTGTAATCAACTATCAATAGAAGCAAAGATCACATTTCGTGCCGAGTCAAATATGGCAAATTATTTGCATTCGAATTTTAGCCGTCATAATTTGTTTCCGTCAAAGCAGACAGAGAGCATCCCAATTTAGAGACGTTGTTTTTAATTACACGCTCCAACAATCGCAGTTGATCTACCGAAAACAAAAACGGGAAAAATGCACTGGCAACAAAAGACATCCTTTTTTGTATTCTAAGAGTGGCAGAAATGGTTTAATTATGCAATGGACTCAATAAAAGGCGGCATATTATTCCTTTAGATCAATTTGATTTTTTTCAGTGTTGCAGAAGAGTCACGCGTACCCACTGAAATTTGCAAAATTCTTCACTTGGAATGTAAACCAACTCATTTAATCATGAATTATTATTATATTTTTATTTCTCCACCAGTAGAAACGACCGACGTTGTCAGGATTTTATATAAAAAATAATAAAGACAATGACAAATGAACGTTTCATCTCTCTAAAAGGCAGGATATGTGTGTGTGTGTAACGAATGCACGGCCGAAATTTTCGACAGATTTGCACCAAAATGTACATGCACATGCTCTAAGTTAGCAGAAGGCCAAGACCGACATTGCATTTCCCAACTCCCATCGATAGTCGAAATAATCGATTTTTTCATGCTTCTACAGCAGTTTTCATGTAGTTTGCGGCCATTTTCTACTGGCCAGAGTGAGAGCCTATAGCTGGCTGCCACGAATAGGCAGGAAGATTCTATTGGCCAGCGTGAGAGCTAACAGCTGACTGACACGAATGTTAACTAGCATGCTAGCATGCAAAAAAATCGATAGCTGCATTCGTCACAAGTGGGAAAAATTTAAATCTGCATGGCACTTTACTCCAATTGGCTCATTCGCTTGCTTAAACTCAACGTTGATTCTGATTCCGCAGAACTGGGTTCGGTGTGAAAAAGTATTTGTTGTTAACATTCATTTTTCATTCGGTTTTTCCAGTTACGAGTCCTTTTTTAAAAGCTGATCGTTTTGTGTTCATTTTGTTTAGTTCTTTTTTTCGTAACAGATTTAATGTTTAGTATAGAGCTTAGAAAAAATTCGCAGTGTGAGATAGGCAAGAAGTAAGGCATGTAGCAACATCAGCACGGCAAAGGGCACTCCTTTAAAGTCAAGGAAGGGCAAAAATATTTTAAGTCAAGTGATAGCGATTGCTGTATGAGTCGTACGATTTTTTAATCAAGCACGGGCAACGCCGGGCCATGCTGCTAGTATGAATTAAGATTTTTCGAACAGAAAGTGTGAAGATAGGTATATACAAGTTCGTGGTGTAATGGTTAGCTTGCATGTCTCGCTACATCAATGAGTTGGATCCTCACTGTGTGCTCCACACCTTCGGCCTTGTGCCACATCTAAGCTAAGCTTAAAAATTCATTTAAGGGCTGTAATGGTTAGCAATCTTCTCCCGCTACATCAATGACAACTGAACAGTGAATTGGAACCTCACTGGGTGCTCTACACTTTCGGCCTTGTGCCATATCTAAGCTACGCTTACAAAATCATTTGAGGGCACCATGACGTGCTGTAATGTTTGGCAAGTTTGTCTCGCTACTTCAATGACAACTGAGTAGTGATTTCGATCCTCATTGGATGCTCCACACTTTCGGCCTTGTGCCACATCTAAGCTAAGCTTAGAAAATCATTTAAGGACATCACGACGTGCTGTAAATGGTTAGCAAGATTGTTGCGCTACACGAATG